CAAACACACACACACACACACACACACACACACACACACACACATACGCACACGCGCACACACACACACACACACACACACACACACACACACACACAGACCCACAAACACAAACACACACACACACACACACATACACACACACACACTAACACATTTCGACTTATCTAACTCCCCTCCCTCCTCCCCACCCATTTGTCGTCCAGGAACTGTCAGGCCTGTCCCCTGCAGACTTCCACGTGATCGGCCACAGCCTGGGCTCCCACATCGCCGGCTATGCCGGAAGTCAGGTCAGCGGACTGGGGCGTATTTCCGGTTAGTAGCTACAATTGCCCAAGTCTCAAGTACTTGTCACGTCTAGTACTCGATTGTCGCGTTTAGTCATTGATTCTGTCACGTCTAGTACATGTATTTTATTTTGTCACGTCTAGTACTTGATTGTCACGTCTAGTGTTTGATTCTGCCACGTCTAGTGCTTGATTGTCACGTCTTGTGCTTGATTGCCACGTCTAGTGCTTCATTCAGTCACGTCTAGTGACTGCAAAGGATGACCCACATGCGTCCCAGCATACACACAACTGCAGAGGAAATCATTGATGTAGAGTTGCATTACTTGATGCTTGCCACAGAGGGAATTCATACTTACTTGATACTTGGTTGGTGGTTGGCGGGGGCTCTGGTGTGGTTTGCCCCTTCTTTCCTATCAAACATTTATCGTCCTTATCTCCCTTTCTTCTTTTTTATGTTTGTTACTCTTGTAACACCTAATCTTCTGGCGCTCATATGACCTAATGCCGTTGCGAGCGTCGAAAAACCTCTACTAAAAAAACAAAAGCGTGATACTTTTTAGTGGATCGTTAATTACTTGATTCTGGTTAGTGGATCTTTAATTACTTGACAATTGGTAGTGAGTGAATCGTTAGTGACTTGATAATTGGTCGGTGGTTGGCGGGTGCTCTGGTGTAGATTGCTCCTTCTTTCCCATCAAACATCTATCGTCCTTATCTCCCCTTCGTTTTTAAGTTTGTTACTCTCTTGTAACACCTCTAATCTTCTGGCGATCATATGACATTATGCAGTTGCGAGCGCCGAAAACCCTCTACTAAAAGAACAACCCCAAAAACGTGATACTTGTTAGTGAATGAATCGTTAATTGATTCTTGTTAGTGGATCGTTAATTACTTGATAATTGTTAGTGGATGGATAGTTACTTGCTACCACCCACTGTTTGGGACTATATTATCAGTGAGCGAGACAGGGATGGTTACTGACCAAAACATGTTTGTTTGTGTGTGTTCCAGGACTGGATCAGTGGCTGGTAGGTGGGTGCTCTGGTATGGTTTGGTTCTTCTTTCCCATCAAACATCTATCGTCCTTATCTCTCCTTCTTTTTGTGTGTGTGTGTTTGTTACTCTCTTGTAACCCCTCTAATCTTCTTGCGCTCATATGACCTTACTGTGTTGCAAGAGCCGTAAAACTCTTACTAAAACTAAACTAAACAGGACTTGATACCACCCACGGTTTGGTGCTAGATTATCTGTGACCGAGATCGGGATTGTTGCCGACCGGTAAACGTTGGTGTGTTTGTGTGTCAGGACTGGACCCTGCCGGACCTCTGTTCTCCGACACGCCCCCAGACCTGCGCCTGGACGAGACGGACGCCATGTTTGTTGACGTCATCCACACAGATGCGCCCCGGGCGGGCAGCGATCCTCGCCAGGATTTTGGTGGGTGTTGGAATGGGTGTGGGTGTGTCTGTGTCTGTGAGTGTCTGTGAGTGTCTGTGTGTCTGTGAGTGTGTCTGTGAGTGTGTCTGTGAGTGTGTCTGTGAGTGTGTCTGTGAGTGTGTCTGTGAGTGTATGTG